ATAGAAGACTTACTACAAAGACGGACAGACAGACGGGGATGGATAGATCGACTTGGATTTTGATGCTGATCAAGAATATATATATACTTTATATGACCGGAAACAACTTAACTGCTTTGCAAGCTTAAAAACTGAAATTATAATACCTTGCGAAGGCTTAATAATGAAGCAAAATTTGGGTAAAAAAAAAATAAATTTACGTAATTTATTATTATGTTAACTTGGTGTATACGTTTTTAGATATTCTGAATACAAATTGCTGTCAATTTTAAGGCAATACGATTATTAATTGAAAAATAAATGCATAGTTAGCGCATTCATTCATTCATTTATTAAAGCGATATTTTTATATGCTAATTTTTGGAGTGTTTAAAATTAAAAATTAAAATTAAAATTATTTCAAATATCATAGCTAAGCGAATAATTAATTAACTTCAGTTTGGATAAGTTTTCTCTGTGAGTTTTTATTAGAGTTTACTTAATTATAAAATTTAAAAAAATTAAAATTTGGGTCAAATTTTGACATTTTAACGATGTTAAAAAAATCGTATAACATGGCTGGCGCGACTCAAGAATATATATGGGTTATAGGGTCGGAAATAATCCCATCATTAAACTAAAATTAAGACTTTTTTTACATATTTAAAGGAAAGATTATCCGGGGTCTGGAGGACAATGGTACGAATACGTGATATTCTATGTTGATGCGATATTACGTATACGTAATTATTTTTATTTTTATTCGGAAAATTTTTGAAAAATGTATTCTTCGGCTGGAGATTGCTAAAAAGATTCGCCAGTTGATGCTGATCAAGAATATATATACTTATATGGTCGGAGATGACTCCTTCACTTCGTTGCAAACTTCTGACAGAAATTATAATACCCTGCAAGGGTATAATAATGTATCAAAAGTTGGCCCCAAAGTCAGGGTCAGTTTTAAAACTATCACAATAAGTAAATAAAGTTAGAAATCAATATTTGAGAACTATTTATAAGTAAATTAGGCTGTTTATTTTGAGTATACGTTTGTGGATGTCATCAATACAAATTGCTGTACCACTTTATTATATGATATTATAATTATAATTAAGTAATGAGATTTATGGCAATAAGGGAATTGAATTAAAAAATAAATGCATAGCTAGCAGAGCTGAATCTAGACTAAGGCTTGATACCTCCCATAAGATCTATGTTTATATATGATATAATAAAATAATATGTATATGATATAATAATATGTATTTGATATAATAATGTAATATATATAAGATATAATTGTCATAATTAAGACTTACCCCAGTGTAGGACACGTCATTGTTTACTTCCTTCCAGTATGGACTTAGAATCTTGGTTTCTTCAATTAATGTAATCGTGGTATTGAAGATCACTTCCTGTTTATCCAGTTGTATTCCATTGGCCACGTCATCTTTTTGCCTATTCAAGAGTTATCACAATCACTTTCACTACCGATGTAAACACTAGGTACCCCTAGGACTGACTGAGCTCGCGGCGATCGAAACACCTCTATTTATACTTCCCGAGGCAAGATAACAGAGAAAGAGAGAACAGAGAAGTAGAGCGTAAGCGCCATCTCTACAGCGCTGTAACAGTGGGAGGCAGGCATTCCAAATGTTATTGTGAGTAAGAAAGAGAGGGAGAGGCAGAGGCTTACAGAGGCATAGGCGGGAGTAAACTAATCACTGCTATTACAATGTTATAATATTAAATTAACCGAAAGTTACTTCCGCCAGCCGTTGTTTATATATCATTACGAATTTCAATTCGATCATTAATAATTAATGGATATAAATTATATATATTTATGTTAAAAAAACAACAAAGTAATGCCTTTATTTTATTACATTTACCGCTACATATTTTATAGTTTACACTTGCAGTTTTGCATTTCCTTTATATTTAACGATCGTGTTTTTGGCAGCTATAGGATATAGTTGTTGGATCCGACCATTTATGAGAACGTGTATAAGAGGATAGTTTGCGGAGAAACGGACAGACGGAAGGATCAAGAATATATATTCTTTATATGTCCGGAAATGACTCATTCAATGCGTTGCAAGCTTCTGAACTAAAATTATTGTACCCTACAATCAATTAATATTCGTGAATAAATTATAATTAAGTAAAGTTTTTAAATTAAAGTATACGTTTGCTGCATCACTTTAAAATAAAATTAAGCAATGAGATCCATGGCAATGAGGGAACTAAAAATAAGTGCATAATCAGCACAGCTGCTTCTGGACTTAGACTTCTGATCTTTCCTATAGGATCTATATACTTCATATAATTGTCATGGTTTCCATTGATTTATGGAAAATCACTGTTTCCGAAATATATATAAACAATATCAACCTATTATTTTTCTCTGTGTACCGAATAGTGGGCGATGTGAGGAATGTGAAAGGACTAACAGGAACTATCGCAGTCTGATGAATGCGCTGATAGAGGAGCCATCGCGACGTCCTGCTTGATGGCACTCCCTTGGCCAATTACTTTCGCCAGCACCTGTATCCCTATATTGCGACGCACACACATACACACATGCATAGTGAGTACTTCGTCCTTCGTCCTTGTTACTGCGGCGTCGGCTGTTGCTACCATTTGCTGATGCTGAGCGCGAAATATGAGCGGCATTAAAAATTAGTCCAAAGTACTGCTAAGTGCGGAAGCAGCCGCGGCAAACTATCAACGAACACAACCAGGAGAACTCGGGGACAAATTTCAGCAAAAGGGTCATCCTGTTTATACCCTAGCTCAAAGAAAGATAGAGAATATTGGTGGCTTCTGGGATCCAGGATTATGCGAGGGGAAAGGATAAAGGATGGTAAAGGTAAAGGAATTAGATTTATAAAAGATAATGGATTGGATAATGGTAAAGTTAAGTTCTAGGGGATACATATTTAAATCGAATTGTTATATTATTTCTTTATCTTTTTCTTTCTAGGATTAAGAGAGAAGATTTGGAAAATTGAGAGAATACTTAATAATTTTATTAATTAATACGAATTATATTTATACTTTATTTTCCTTTTCTGGGATTTCGCAAATACTTTATTTTATTAATAATATTACCTAATAATATTAATTAAATGAATTCTTAATTTTTCCTTTCTGGGATAATTATTAAAAATTATCAATCATACTTTTGCTTTCCTCTTCTAGGATTAAGAGAAATACAAGAATCATTATTTGTTTTCAATGTTATAATGCAAAAATTGCTGATGTTTAAAGTGGTATTAGTTTATAAATGAAAATATATTATTGATTAACTGTCATACATAAATTGTATATGATTTTTGTAAACTTCCTTAGAATTGCAAATATTTTATAAAATATGTTTATATTTACAAATGCTATATAAATATCTGTGTTTAATTCTTACTTTAAACTTAGTCTAAGGATGTAAGAATTGTGGTTTATATTTTATTAGAAACAAAAGACTTTATGTACATTTAAAATGAATGCTATTTTGGTTTAGTAAAAGTTAATTTTCAAAATATTTTAATGGGATGTTAGACTAAAATAAATACATTTTTAAGGAATGATGATGATGAAGGATGAGAATTAAGGTTTTAATTTAATTACAATGAAATGACCATATATATTTTGATTTTTATTCATTTTTACGATCCAATCGCAAATTGCTATGATTTTTCAAATCTCTGCCTTTGCAATTTAGTTTCCCTTCTGGTTATATATATATTTAAATATTTAAACGTATTCTAAACCTGGAACACCGTGCTCCCCTTCTCGCTACCCTCTGTGTCCCCTCCCCCTTGGTCTCCTTGGTAGTGGGTGTGGGTTGGAGGAGTATATTAACTACAACAATGCGCCCAGCGAAGCTGGAGTGCCATATTTTTAGTGTCCAGTTAGCAGTTGTGTGTGTGTGGGTGTGTGTGTGTGTAGTATATGCTGCGTGGGCGGCATTTCCCATATATATTTCCCTCCCCCCCCCCCCCCCCTTGCACATTTTCCTCTGTCGTCTGGCTCTTCTAGTTTTGTTGGTCGAAAATTTTAATGCCACATTTAGCGTTGGCGACAATGCTGACGTTGGCATCCTTGGTGGGAGGGACTTAAAGTGTCCTTTCCCCCCTCCCCCCAGAAAGCATTCAGCGCGGTTTTTTCCGGGCTTTTTGTTTCGTATGGAACATAGGCGGGGAAGGAGGTAGGATGACCATACAAAAATGCAACAACAGCCAACAATCGACATTGGCATATGCCGCACAGAATATGAGCAGTGGCCAGTTATATAGAATAGGGAGAGGGGGGATATGGGGGAGGAGCAGTGTCCAGTCCATTGGCCAGAGAACGAGCATAATTGGCAAGTTGTATCCATTGGTAATGGTAACCAAAAAGGGGTACAAAAGGAACGGCATACTGCCAAAATGGGAAATACAAAATGAAAATCGCTTAAACTGTGCAAACCAATAAATTTAAAGCAGCTTAAGCGACGAACACGAAACGAAAACGAAACAAAACACGGGGACACACAACAAAAACACCACTCCCGAACACACACACACACAAAAAGCTACTTTGGAGGCGGGTGTGTTGGGTGTTAAGGGGGCGTCTGGTTTGGTCTCCTCAAAAAATCGTTGCAATTAAATGCAAATCAGCTGACAAAAAGGATAAACACATATGGCCAGTCAGGTGGTGGTGGTGGGAGGAGGAAGTGGTGGCCAATGCCAGAACCAGAGGGCGTTACGGAAGGCTGGATGGCCTGGTGTCACTTGAGCTGGCTGTTATTTCTATGGCCAGCCGGTTGTTTAGTTTGTCCGGTCATGCATCATCTTCATCGTCATCGGCAGCATCAGTAGAATCCTCATCATCATTATCAGCGTTATCATCATCCGCAAATGCACATACACATATGTAAACACACACATCCCAGCCAAAGCGTTGGCTCACCTTATGTGCAGGTATACACCTGGGAAAATAAATGTATATGTTAATTATATATGATAAAAGAAACTCTACAATTAATGGGGCATCTTTGCCTCCTTTGCATTGCTTTATTTTGCCTCATCAATTAGTGTAAAGTGTAAGATGTAAGGTGTAAAGTGTAAAGAGTTAAGTATTTTGAATCTTGCTTGATCATTATTTAAAATTTTATCCAATTTGGCATTCAGCATCTTTACCTAGGGTAGGATATTCAACTCCAATTTCATCAGTACTACGCGCTTCACCTGGCTCATCATTGTGTTTGGCTTCATCTGGATATCCTTGATGATAGGGATCGGTACGTTGATACAGAATACCAACATTCTCGGCACGACGCGACTGGGGTGACAAAAAGGTAAGAGTAGGACTCTCATCCCTTTTGTCTCTGTCCAGCGACTGCACTCGATTCCAGGATCCTTGCTGAATGTCACTCTTCTGCAGCTTTCGGTCTACAGAGTTGCTGCGAGGTGAAATAATTCGGGTGGGAACTGGGGGAACAAACTATGTAATCAATTGAATCTATATATATATTATATCTCACCTGATCCTAGGTAATTAGCGAAGTTATCCATTTTGAGGGCCATAAAGTTGGGCAGCTTCATCTGCTGCTGCTGCTGCTGCCGCGTCTGCGGCTGCTGCAGGTCGGTGTTGTCTTGGATGAGATTGTCTGGATTGGAGGTGGACATCTCCTCATTGTCTGGTGTGGCCATATCGTCCGTCTTCAGTTGAATAGAAGCCTTCTTCATTTGGCCCTTGTTACGATCGTCTTCTGGTTGCTGTGCCTGTCTGGCAGAATTATTCCTGTGGCGAGGCATTTTCTCATCCAATTTGTGTTAAGCCTTCGATAGACTTTGACGACTAGCTGGGGCAGATAACTCAAGGTTTACTTGATATTTTTACAACTAAACAATGACTTACTTGATCCACTTTACAACAAAGATTATATATTAATATATTTATATTTAATACCCTTCTCCTTTCCCCTGCCAAGACATCGTTTCTTAAAGCCAAATATCTATCAATTTTGCCATCATTGTGCGCTCTTCTTGCCGCTTATGAGTAATTACATCCAATAAGGATAATTGGGGGACTAGGTATTTGACCTAAGTATTTCAAGTATAATTTGATGTGAGACCAATTAATTGAATCGGGGTCACTGGAAATTAGTTTAAGAGCGACCTATTTCTCTTTGTGTATAGCATGCCTGCGATCGGCATATATAGTCATGTGTTCACATTTATATTGTATACATATATATGTACAGAGCGTTTGGCTACTGTCTGTATGAATGGGCCAGAAAGTCCTCCAACACCCCACACATCCATCCTACTTCGTCCCGTCTCTGTTTTCACTTGCTGCACAAACACAACAAACACCAATTCAACTGCAATTGCATGCAATGCATTTTGCATTTTGGATGCCCCAGACAAACACTCAACGAAGTGGCTGCAAGAGGGGCATATCTATATATATATATATATATACATATATATATATTGTGGGGCATATTGCAAGGCGACACGGGGGATTGGGACATAGCAGAGGCATCTGCTGGCCATGAAATAATCCTTAAAAGACCACAAAACGATTTTATTCAATTAAAATGTCAAAAACGGTGTTTGTTTTCGTTATTTAATGCTATAAATATTTACACTTTTATCTATGCAACTGCCATTGCCACTCCCACTGCTGATTCTCATCAAAAAAAAGGGGAAAAAAACTGAACAATTCACCAATTTGCCGAGTTGAGTGCATCAAGAGAGTCTATGAATGGGTCGAAAGCGAAAGTTATCGGTTTAAATATTTGTATGCTCGTTAGCTTTAACTGATTGGGAATCGTAAGGGTCAAGCGCCAAGGGAAATGTGTGAAGGAGTGCGAATTTATTTAGAGCAAAAGTGAACTTGAAATAAATATAAAGGAGACATTAAGCATTTTAATAAAATTAAATAAATTAAATCTATATAATTCCATAGATCTCTTTTTCTGTTGATTTCTCTTCTTTTGATATCTCTTATCATCGATCTCCATCAATTTCTGTCTAATGTTCTATTTCTCTCCTTTATCGTATTTATTATATCGTTATATATTTCTATCTATTCAGTGATCAGAGATTATATAGCCTCTTAGCCTCCTGGTCTTTCTTTTTGCTTAGATCTCATCAACTTATAAATATGAGTTAACCTTACTCCTTGAATTTCTTCAGGATAACAGATAACAGAGTCTCGCTTTCCTGGAACAGTGAAAATCCTGGGCATCACTAAGAATTTATCTCTGCATTTCAACGAATTAACTATCGATGAATCCCAGCCAAGGTGGAGAAATCCCTTTCGGTCAGTTTGTATAAACAATTTAGGGATTGTATGCTGGGCCTTGAACTGTTGAACTACGAACCTACCCCTCTCTCACATATTAATTAGAGTGATTAGTAGATATAATTCCATTAAACTGAATGGAATCTATAACTATTTAATGAATGGAAAGCAAGCACAAAAACTTTCAGAGATTTCCCCCACTGGAAGTTGCTGGTCAACAAGTTTCTAATTCGTCAGATTGTTTCAGTTGGTGGGGAGCATAAACATTGCTTACATAATAATTATTATGATTATCATATTGAAAGGGGGAGGAGGGGAGATAGGGGAATGGCATCCAGAACATGGTAGGAAGAAGGTCGAAGGACATAGGCATGGCCGATAATTTGTTGTTGCTGTTAGCCGAACATTTTTGGCTTATTGCAAATTTTGGGCACGTACAACTCGTAAAGACTATTTACGATTCTAATAAAAAGTGTGCCCCTTTGCCAGGGCACACGCCCCACGCCCCACCGCCCACCGCGTGTCATCCCTTTTGAAGGAGTAACCAAAGTTGAAGTCCTGCCGGGGGTCCTTATAATAACGAGCCGTTTCCACCGTCCTCCGACTGCTCTCTGTATCCCCCTCTCTGTGTGTGTGTGCATGGAAATTGTTGAATTTGCTGCTAATTAAATTGCCGGCGCTGCTTGAAATTTGCATTCGCTTTTAATAAACTTCGCCGAGAGTGAATCGAGCAGGAGAAGGAGGAGCAGGAGGAGAAGTAGGGTCCTGTCCATACAGAAGAAGAGAGAGAGTTGCCTCCTTATTAGGGGCGCAAATATCCCTGACAAGGCACTGACAAAGACATTTTAGTTTGGGAATTCCTTTTGCCCCTTGCCTTTTGCTTTTGCCGCCAGAAGCAACAATGTGTGTGGAATCCATGTAGATGACTCTCGACGATTCCAATGATTCCAAAGATTCCCAACGATTCCAGCTATTCCGGATTCCGACTCGCCACCGATGGTATCCCGCAATTCGTTTTATATTTGCCATTCAATTGTTTTTTATTTGCCAGTATTGCTTCTTTCCAACCATGACTACAGTCTCTTTTTACCACGTCCTCGTCCACCTCGTCCCTTCGTTCTGCACTGGTTGCATTTTTAAAACTCACTCGCTCCCGCGTGCCTGGCACTTGCTGGGTAGGATTGGGTGTACTGGGACTGGACCAGCTTACTGTGGAGGACGTCCAGCATTGAAATTTCTTTAGAGGATAGTCTGCTCTAAAAACTGGATGAATATATACTGCAATAAAGATATTAAATTGAACACGATGCTGGCCTTAAATCTTCAAAAGGTCCTTAAAAAAATATTTCATATTAATTAAGAATCCTTATAATCTTCTTCTAGGGTATCCTTTTGCTCGTAATCCAATCGGAAAATAGCTCATATACCCTTGGCTACTTACGTGCCCCGTTCGGATGCATTGATTGCCACCTGGCAGCAGCCACCTGCAACGAAGCTTCTGGCTTCTGTCCTAGTGTCCCAAAGTCCTGGTGTCCTGATGTCCTGATGTCCTGGTTGCCGTTGGCTAGCTTTCGTTTTAAATCAATACAACAAATTTCGCGGGTCGCCATGGAGTTGGTGTTGCTATTGGTATTGGTATTGGTGTCGCCCCCATTGGACTCCATCTTCTGCTCCTTGCCGTGTGCCGTTTAAAATGTTCTGAGTAATTAACACGCGGCGTGTGTAACCCCAAATGGTCATACCGAACGGAATGGTAAGAGGAGCTGCATCCGGATGGGGATGTGGGGGACCTGCGACTACGACTGTGACTGTGAAAATGTGCAACGTAAGCGCAGCATCCGGGGAAAAGGAATAGGGAGCACGAAGCTTTGGAACGCGGGGACCCACGCACATGGCCAAAAAGTTACACGTCCCCAACGATGGCTACATATATGGATGTGTGTGTGCAACTTTTATTTATTGATTTAATACTTTTTCAATTTACTGCAAATGGCCAAAGAGTTTCCGTTGCATATGTGCAAACTGTGTGTGTGTGTGTGTGTGGGAGCCATAACTACCTTTCTGGCAACTAATTCCGAACCAATGGATCCCCCGCCATCCGGCAGATGGCAGCTGTTCCCACAAGGAATACGAAGAATCATCGATGGCCAAAGCAGACTTGGTTCGCCAATTGCCATTAGACGACGTAGGATGGGGAATGGGGAATATATCTTACTCTGTCTCTTTGCCAATTAATATACAAGCTGGCACACTAGTTGTTTCTATAAAGAAATTATTCGTATGTAAACTTATGTAAGTTTATGAAAACAGGAAGTTCAAGTTATATAAGTCGATAGCAACATGTGTTTATGTAACAGTAATCGGTAAAACGATAGGCAAAAGATCAAAATGTGGGATTCACACTTGATCAAGTACTAATGCAGTGTAGAAACGCAATTATTAAATAAAGCTCTTTAATCACTATTTACCTTCTAAGAATTGACCTCTTGGCCACTGGTTATGTTAGTAGAGCCCGAGATGCAGCAGCCTTTAATCAGAAGGGGTAGCGAAAGGAGAGCCTCTAAAGAAATGTTAGACCAGCTTCCCAGTGGGAGGCGATGCCAGCGCATTAACAGCAGCACCAGCATTTCCCCAAGTCCCAGTGTCGTCGTCGTCCTTGTCGCTGTAATCGCTGTCGCTCCCTACAAGCCTCTCCCGGAAACGGAAGTGCAGCAGTTGTTCGCATGGCCCTTAATTCACAATTTAATTTCACAGTGAGCTGCGCACGGAACAAAGAAAGCTCAGCGGATGGGACCTTGGGTGGCAGCTAGTCTGCCGGGGATCCTCCACATGTGGATCACAGATCTGGTTTCCGTTGCTTCCTCTTAGTTAGCACCCACCGACCATGCCCCAACTCGCGGACGGGAATCCGGAATCGTGAACCGTGACAACGCCACGTCCTTGTCCTTGAATTGGGCTGGGGGTCGGGGTCCTTTGAGTTGAAGTGGGCACCGGAATCGGACCGGATCCGGTGTCCGGAAAATGCGCGTGAAAAACCTACGCGTGGAAGAGTAACTGAAAATGGTAAACATTCAATGAAGCGAAATTGATTTGATTCAATTTAAAAGTTGAAAGCGCTCGTCCGGTGAAGTCAATAACAACAGCAACAACAGATGCACAAGGACCAGCGGAAAAAAAAAGAAAGAAAACAATAAGAAATAAGGACACGCAGAGCAAAACAGTACGCCCAATTTTTCGCATTATGGCCTCTTTATATCCTTGCGAAATTGTTCCAAAAATTAGTCAACCGCAGCAGGCAAGTCGATCTAGCCCTCCGATTTTTATATTAAAATATAAATTTGTTTTGATATACAACAAAGAAATATTTAAGGGCATAGGATGTAAAAAAAATCATGTATTTTTCAATTCGCCATTCAAATCCTAAAGTTCATTCCATTAAATTAACCTGGTATTTAAAAAAGGCTATAAATATTCCACCATCAATGCGTTTGTACAAAAGGGAAAAATAAAGCGAAAAGCTCTTAAGGTTACCGTTTATTCTAGATATATTGTATCCTAGATCCGAATATCCAGTTCCACATATCCCAATTTTCAGATGGTAATTGTTGCATTATCATAAACATTATAGATGTGAACTGCACATTATAGTTAGCTGTACCAGATTTTTTGCTTGCAAAGACTTTGAAAAAGTGCTAAAAATATGACCGTTCTTGATCTAAAAACGAAGCGAATGCTAAACTAACGGTTTTGGTAACACTGTCTTTTGGAAAAAAGTTTTCTCGCCATTTGGTTCGTGTGAAAATTGCTCCGGAACTTTTTTTCCACAAGTCATCTGCTCTTGTCAATCTGTCAAGCAAATTGCGTTACACGACTGTAAAAACTGGAATCACAGCCGATACAACCTCATACAACTAAAACATTTACATCCCATTTCATCGAATAAAACTTTACAGGTAAGAGTTTTTCACCTGTTTTTTTTTCTGTCCACCATTTTACATGGTTTCTTTTGAAGAAATGCCGCCCATTCGTAATGTAAAGCCTGCAGCGGGAGTTGCTCCTCGCCGTCGTAGCGATCGGATTAGGGTCCGCAATGAGGCTGTCCAAGCTGCTGCCCAGGCTGCTTCCCAAGCTGCTGAGCCTGCCCGGGAAGAATTCGGGATCTTGCGAATTCCCCTGAATTCGCCAACTATTAATGGACCAAGTGGAGGCCGCCCACTTTTCCCCGTACACCGGCGATCAGTCATATCCATCCTTGAACCCCTTCGCCAGGAACAAAACTTGGCTTTACGAAACATTTCCGGAACGAATAACGTCTTTTCACCACCCACACCATCACCTAACCCAATCCGATCCATTCTTCACCCCAATCAAGAAGCAAACTTGGCATTACGAAACATATCCGGAACGAATAGCGTCTTAGCACCACCCACACCACCACCTAACCCAATCCGATCCATTCTTCAACCCAATCAAGAAGCAAACTTGGCATTACGAAACATTTCCGGAACAAATAGCGTCTTAGCACCACCCACACCATCACCTAACCCAATCCGATCCATTCTTCAACCTAATCAAGAAGCAAATTTGGCATTACGAAACATATCCGGAACGAATAGCGTCTTAGCACCCCCAGCACCGTCATCGGTTGCCAGTACCTCACAAGCGGCAGGATCTGCAGGATCCCAGACTCCTTTGCAACGCGGTGCCGCTAATCGGATTCGGCGTGAACTCTGCAATTTCATGAAAGAACCGGTAGAAGGGTGCCATGTGGAACCCGATGAAGAGAACATTTTTAGCTGGAAAGCAACCATAATCGGCCCACAAGGCTCACCATACGAGGGTGGGGTTTTTGACCTATCTGTATCGTTCCCGCAGGACTATCCCTTCTCACCGCCTACAGTGATATTTAATTCTCCAATTTATCACTGTAATATCGCGTCAACAGGGAATATTTGCATTGATATATTGGGATCACAGTGGTCCCCCGCCTTAACAATTTCCAAAGTGCTAATATCTATATCGTCATTCCTCTCGGAACCGAATCCCGATGATCCATTAGATCCAATACTTGCTGATTTGTTCAAACATAGACGCGATGAATATGAAGAGAATGCTCGCCTCTGGACCAGCCAGTTTGCTATACCTGATCCGGAATACTCAAGCCCCGAATAGATACGATTCCAGTTCGAACTCTTATATTGAAAATTTCATATCTTTAAATATAAATTATGTTTTGGACACGACAATAAAAACATGTGTATGAAAACTTCAATTCAAATTAATTATTTTCTGCTTTCTTATTTCATGTTGGAATTTGATTAATCCTTGTACCGATTAGAGAGGCATTTATTTTTTACAGTGGTTGCCTTGCATTGTATTGCAAATTGAGGTTGCACTGGGATGCAAATACATTTGCGGACCATGTTCCACAGCGATGCCCATCAGCGAAAGTGAAAGGATTGTGAGGCCACAACAGTGTTGCCTCGTGGCATCAGCAAATCTTTCCTCTAATTAGGGAAAAGTTAGTACACCTCATTCTTGGACATTATCTAATATTATATTATTAAATAATTAATATATTTAAACATTGGTTGTCGGGTATTTATTGTCTTATTTTAATGACCTTTAGTGAGCAATTAACACTGTTCTTCATTGAAAATTGCCCTTAGCTGCGTTATCTTGCGCCATCTGACAGGTTATGGCAAGACACAAACACAGGTGAGTGAGTGGCGGTGGCAATGGCATTAGCGGATGATGTCCCATCAATTGGAGATAGGGAGATGGAGACGGAGGCGGAGATGGTTACCGCGGATCGAGGGGAGGGAAGGCAAAGGACACTGGCAGGCGGAGAACAATGGGTACACCTGCGAGTGCCTGAACGAGAGTTCAATGGAAATGCCCGAACCCAGGCGCATATACATATGTGTGTGTGCTGTCAGTGACATCTTCTGCAAACAGAGGCGGCGCATAAGAGGGTACTATAATTGCAACAATCAAGCTAGATTTAAATTCTTAGAGTATTAAATATTGAAAATAATTATTATATTTGTTTCCCCCACCAGTAAGCATCAGGTTATCTGTCAAAGCTATTCGAACGTAGTTGGAAAATCTTCAACAAAAATTTTGAAGAAAATATGCATCGCTTCAGGGATAATGCCAGGCAGGCACAGCGTCAAGAAGCCAATTGGGAAGAGACATTGCGCTTGGCCCAAATGGATGTCGCTCTGCTGAAGATCAATGACAGCAACCTACACTACAAGGAGGATGTGGAAAACCAAGTGAATCTCAACCCAGAGGATACCGAGAAGGAGCTGCTGCAGCTAAAGTGGCTGGACTTTCTGGCCCTCAAGATTGATAGCTGCCCATCGTCAGGTGAGCTCTTACCCTCTTTTAGAGCAGGATTACTTACACTGATCGCTTTTGCAGTTCCCACCAGTACTGTCCATCCTCGCAGCCGCTCCGTTAACCGGAAGCCGCAAAGGACCTCCAATCTTCAGCGATCTTGGACTCGCGTCCAGTCGGTGGACAGGGAGAAAATGGATGAGGATCCGACTTTTTACTTTGAACGCTGGCCGCGTTACAACGATTCGGTGCCCTCGATGGCAGGCAGTTTGCTGTCCATGGCCAAGCCATTGGAGGAGCACTGTGACAACATGCAGACCTCCACCAGTAAGGAGATTATTACAATGAAGCCACAAATGATGAAGCCACGCGAGGTGCTGATGGACTTGAAACAGATCCAGAAACAAAAGTGTGACTAAGGCCAAACTTGAGATGCTTCGGTGAATTAAATGAATAAACCAAATGTTTCCGATACACATACGTATTTTTCCAATATATTTTACTTATCCTATGTATGTATAAAAGGATATGGATATATGTACGCTCTACGCCCATGAACGGAACACTTCTGTGTGTGTGTCGGTATGTATTGTTGGTCGTATTTCACTTGACCATTATCCGTTGTTCTCAGCAGATGCAGACAATTTCGGCCAGCGGGTAAAACAAAGCGGGGTAGGTTTACCTTGTGGGTGAGGTGGGTTTAGGGTTTGGCTAGGGGATAAGGTGTGAGAGGGGGTGCAGCAACCAGGTAGCGTTAACATAAATCAAAGCTTGAAGCTCAAAAGCGAGCGACAGGCGCAGAAATTGGTCAAGGTATGGGGAGAACGCGAACTGAAAAGGACCTCAGGGGCAGTGGTGTCCTTTACCACCAAGAGAAGGCTTTTCTTTTATAGTATCAGTAAGAATTCAATACATCTAACACTTGAATCTTTTATTTATATATAGTATATTAACTAATATATATTATTTTTAGATCCTTGGGTTTAAGCTTGCTGTTACAAAAAAAAAGAGGTAAGAATACCTTTGTGATGTGGTGAGAGACTGACACACTTCCAGCTGCATTTCGGAACGTGCACTTGAAAAGCCCCAACCAAGCCAAAGACGAGAGGAGAAGCAAAAACCGGGAACCAGCCAAGAACTCCAGAGTTGTCACAGTGCTATTCGCCGGCTTTGAGCGAAATTAGACGTGGAGCATAACCAGGAGCGACACCAAAAAAGGAGAAGCCCATGTGCTAGGCGTGGCTAGGACATGGGCGTGGGCGGATGGGGAATGCCTCGCGTCATTGCCAGTCATATCCTGCGGGGATAAGCGCACTTTATGCAAAACGCACAACTTTTTTACTTTTCACTATCGCATCGTCCCGGTCGCGTTTTCTCTCACTCTCTAGAGCACTGCAGGAAAATCATTAAATAATCCTTAAAATCTTGTCATATAAAGAAAGGAAAATAATATAGAAAATGTGTTATAGAAGGTATATATATCTGAACTGCCAACAGATATACCTCAAAAATCTTCAAAGATATCCTTGAAAAATCCAAGTACAATTGGTAAAACCCTCTGGACTTTTGGTATTGGTTATTTCGCCAAGTGCATTTCTATGACGCGCCTTGGCAGGCGAGAAAAGCGCAAACAGCTCCGTGATTCAGCAGCTCCCGTTCCAGAGTTGTGTGTTGGGTTCGTCCTTGTTATGTCGCCGACAATGCCTCGAAGATGATGGCTTTCAGCAGAGATTTGCCACCGGAACGACGAGCGGAGGGTGTGCTGGCATCAAGGATGCGAAGGATGCGCAAGGATATGAGCGGGGAAGTGACAGTAAAAGGCACAAAGGCGACACGAGAAACAACGGTAAAAGCGATGGGAATTGATTGAAAAGTGAAGAAGCGCTCAAGGACCTAACTAGAGAATTAAGATATACGATCAGACCAATCCCAAACCCTCTATACTTCACTCCCCATACCCAACCCCATTTCCGCCTCCGGCGATTTGATTATGCTAATGAAATAACAAGCCTATAAAACTGAAAAGAAGTGGAACATCGGGAACATTGGCGAATAAGAATAAAACTATGCCAATGTCAATGCCAATTCCCATTCACACGCACGCACATCCCAGGAATGTTGGGTCTGGTCTGGGGGCTATGGCATCCTCAAGGATACTGAATGGCTGGAGGTGTAAAGTGGAAAGGTTCCGCATATTTGGGCCGTTGAAAGGGGATGGTTGTGAAAATGGAAATGGAAATGGGGCGGCGGGTAAAATGGGGGCATTAAAAGAGGCGGACGACCAGCCTATGGGAATGATTGGATGCTCTTACAAGTCCCATTTGAGTCCATGGTACACCCACAAGCAAGTAAATCAATTAACGAACAATACTTTTATACATATATCAGAGAGGGTTAGGGTATTCCCACAAAGTGAACTTTAAATACAATCACAGCTCTTCCTTAGCTTAGAATAAGATTTATTATTATAATTCCATATAATGGAAACAGATTACTTACATTTCATTGACTGTTTAAGTATGTTTCTATTTTAAATAATACTAAATTATATGTTATATTTATAAGGTATGTATATCCTTAATGCCAGCTCTGCCTTCTTACTTGTTTCGATAGTTGTTTTCTAGGATATTCCAGGATATATTTTCATATTACAGACAGTGTTTGTCTAGGATATTCTAGAATAAATATAATTCTAGAATATTATAAAGTAAATGATAAATAAATCCCCTAATCATATTTCCAATTATAATAATAAATAATTTAAAAACTGATTAACTCTCAAATAACCATATGGACTGCTTTTAATATTCCTTCTGGTTATTACAGTTTATTCCTACTCCGAATGAGTATCTATATTGTGCTGTATCCTGTGACCTCCTTTTGCACGATAAGTTGTTATCCTTAAAGCAAATGACATAAACGTCAAGTAGCTAATCGAAATACATCCTTAAAAAAAGGCATATCCTTTTTAGTAGAGAATCTAGTGGGACAAAACAGAATGGTCCAATGAACCAAATTACTTGCAGCGCTGCAGCAACACCTTTTGGACATTAAAGAAGCCCCCTGAAGCACGACGAAGGACGACGAAGGACCCGAAGAAAGGCAGGAAGGAAGGATGCAGGCGAAAAATGCAATGGCAGACGGAAGGAAGGATGGAGGGAACTGGCCGGGAAGTGTGCTTCACTCGATGGCCAGCCGCCTCACTTATGTGACACTCCAAAGACTAACCAGGATTCTGGTATCCTTCTTGGCTCCTCCAGCTTATTCTGCGCTTTTTCTCACACGTTCTCCTTCTTTTTATTTTTTGCTTGCCTTCTTCTTGCTTTTTTGCATATTTATTGTATAGTTTTGTAGTTTTATCAAGTTAGCTAGTTAAAAGTCAAGATGCCACCAAGTGGTGGGTGGTGGGTGGTGTTGGGCGGGTTTCCTGGGTGGCTCGCTCCACCTGCTGCAGGTGGATGAGCACGTGCATGGCGCCATGTCGGCAGCTGCCAACGATTCTTGGTTCCTGGCAATGGTGGTGTCGGGAAATGGAAAACCCCCACCGGAACCCCATACCATTGACTTTTATTAGCTACGTGCGACGGTCACAAAGGGTGGCAGTAGAAGGAGGAGGAGCAAGAGGAGCAGGAGCAGGAGCAGGAGCAGGAGCTTGGAGCTTGGAGAGGAGGTCATCGCGCGGGGGCCAGGAGCGGCAGAACTTGCTAGGCGCCGGCGATAAGATGAGCGTGCTAAAGTTTTATTGCCGCATATTTAAGCTATTAAAAAATTCATGCATAAAATGACACACACTACACACCCCTCCTCCCTCCCACACACCCACACACACACACTCACAGGAGGAACAAAATTAAAAACGCAGTGGAAAGAAGCAGCCGGAAAAATAGAAAATAGAAAGTGGAAAGTGTAAAGTTGAAGCTTGAGTGTGCTGCGAAATGTCTGCGGATATCCGCACTGCAAGGATAATGACTGTCAAGGCAGTCCCCCGGGGGCAATGCAAATGAAATGGACACAAAATGCATTATCATAATGCACATATCCGGCTTAAAAACTGAAATTATGATTCTCTGACCACCACCACCTTGATCGCCTTTTTGAAATAAAATAAATGAATAAAAAGGTCAAATGACTCTATAAAACATCATCAAAGCTCAAAGTAATGCTGATCAGGACAAACTAAAAATATTTCCAGTTTAAATTCGTTCAGCGGAGAGTCCCAAATAAGCTTCCAGCTCCCAGGACTTGACTGGGGCAATAAGCAAAACGTTTTATGTTAAATACCGCATCGTTATCTCCATGGTTGGGACCTTGGTCCAGTCCGCGATGAGATAAAAGTCTGCGAGTCCTGGCCAGCAGGAGGGAAAAGGAGCTCCAAGTTGGAGTGGGAGTTGGATGTCCTGCTGTCCAAATTTGACCCAAGGCTTTGGTAAAGCTGCAGAGTCAGTAGTTGCAATTGCACCGAAAAAATTAATATCTAAAAGGGGAAGTTATTTAATGCATTTAAATATAAATTAAAGTATAATAATTATAGCTTTTCAAAACCTGAATATAAATGTTCCAAGCTAGACATATCCTTTAGTTTGGAGATCTCAAATAGTTTTAGCCTTAAAAGCTGTTTAATAAGTAAAGTTTAAATTTAAGTATACATATATCGTATTATAAGGTGATCTTACCGAAAAAGGAAACCTTGGAATACAACTACAGACCTGGAATGTGAATAAAGTTCTGTTGGTTTACCTTTCCATAAAAAACAATATTTTAAGAGACATGCAAAGTACCTTAAATACATGTTTTAATCTACAACATATACGTATGTATATATATTTTATTATTAGTAAATTATTTTTTGGTTCTCTGTGCCAGGACGACTTCCGCTAAAGTCCCTCTCTAAACCGGAAGCCGTAATAACTATAATCATCAACATGGCGGCCACACACACACACACAAATACACTCACACCATGACCGTTGTTGCATGTTCTTCATTTCGTTTTCTTAATTTTATACACACGCTTATTTTCATTCCGCTTTCTGTTTGCTTTTCCCGCACAGTTGCCGTTTTTCCCCCCCGCATTTCCCCTTTTGCCGCCACGCAGTTTTGTATTTATTGCAAGCAACACCCCGCGCACTGCAGCCGCTGTCTGGGAGCTTTTTAGTATTCATTAAACTGCATAATTATACAATAAGTGCAATGGCTCCGACTTTCTGCGTCCTTTCAGCCCATTTTCCCCATTTTCCTCCATTTCCCCCCATTTCCAGCAATGGCAACCACACGCACACTAGCCCCTTGCCACCGGATATGCATATGTATGTATGTGCATCTTTGATGTGGTCCTGTGTGCAAACACCACACGGTGGTCTGTGTGTATGTGTGTGTGAAGGATCTAATCGAATGCAAAGGAATGAAGCGCTGAAATGTTTACACTGAAACAAATAAATAAATAAAATTACAAGGGGGATAAATGCTAATAACAGGAAGAGACAGAAGACACCTATACTTACCTTGAAAATTAAGTACTTACAGCAGGATTTATACAAGTCAGGATTAATGATTTAAATGCAGGCCAAAGTTTATCATTAAACAGTTAGCAGCTCAAACATTTCTTCTGGTTTTTAATGAATCTTCCATATTTTGTGTTTTAACATATGTTAATTATTGTCGATGTTGCAAGTGTTGCAAGTGTTCAGATTATGTTAGTTGCATATGATCAGTGGTGCAACAGCAGCAGCAGCAGCATTAAATTGAAAGCAGAGCTTAATCTGCATTGGCGAAGCGGCATGTCCACATGCATGCAATGTAGTCATGCTGGAAGCGATTGCAGATGTACATAACTGCGGCAAGTGGATTCATTGGATCCTCGGGAATTGGCATTATCAGTAGCATTACGAGCGCCTTCAATATACTCTCCACGGTCTGCACCGGCACCCAGATGTTATCCAAATGACAAATGGAACCATCTGTGCCGACATTCGAATGAAAGATTTTGTTTAGAAAGCGTACAGTCGGTGGCGAGAATGGATAGTTTGGGGGAAAGTCCAAAAGTATCTTGAAGAGCCCACCATAATACGGAGTTTTAGCGGGCCCATCGATCAAGGCCAGCCATTGGAACATATTGTTTGTGATTCTTATTTTGCAGCCCTCCGGTGGATTGCGGACAATCTTGCTCAGCTCCCGGCTGAGTCTAGTGACCGTCAGTGGATAAATAGGTATTGGTCGTTCCACCGAACGTACGATGTGCTTGTTTTTTAACTCCATGATTCTCTGGTATAAGATTTTATGAATAACATGCAGGCAAAAAAGATTTCAAAAATTCTTACCACTTTTATTTCGATTGAAATTTCAGAAAATCTGAAGCTTTCCACAGCAAAAGGTGAGTTCCTACTGACAGCGGGAAATCAAAAAACGTTCAGCACGTAAAGCATGGCCACCTTGAAGGCTTTAGTGTGGCCAGGTTTCAATTCGAACCGAAACTTAAATGCTAATCGATTAAAATAAGGTAGATTATATTATATTATATTTTTTTGTGTGACAAAAACAAAAAGGCGAACTAGAAAATCATTGATTTAAACCGCAGTAACTCCAAACTTGTATTTATTTTTATTTTTTCCCAAAATAAGGCTTATTTATTTAATATCCCATGACCTCCCGGAAATGCCAAAACAAGAAGTGACCCAAGCAGGAGCAGGAGCTGGGATTATTAAGCTGGATTATGAATAGATAGGCTCATTCAGTCAGGCCTTTCTCGGTCCGGCTCGCCGCTCATTGTTTTTATGTTTTGGGCCAACTTTTGGCAATTCCAAAACGGTCGAACGGAAGCGAAATATGTATGAATGTATGTATGTATGTCCAGCCACCTGAACTAGTCCAAAGTCCGAGCGAAGTTCAACTCCGGCCAGTTCAGTTCCCGGGCACATAAACAAATCCCTTAAACGTTTTAAATGCCAGAGCCCAGCTGCAGGTGCCACGCCCCCAAAAAAAAAAAAAACCCCCACGTTCGCCCGCACATAAGTTGGTGGCAAACGCAACGAAAGCTGGACGAAAACTGAACTGGAACAAACAAAAAAAAACCCAATCGAAAATAGACAAAACGATGAAGGAAGCATAAGAAGTGCTAGACAAATCCTAGCGAAGTAATTATACCCTAACTTTAAGTAGCAAATCTATGCTTAAAATGACCTTAATTTTAGGAATTCGATAAAAAGCTTTTTAAAATAATTCGAGGCATTCTTAACTTGCAACATCTGGCAACCCCTAAAAAACAACTTTAAACACATGCTATTCGAGGAATTTTTCAAAACTTGAAAAGCAAAATCTTTTGAAAATGAATTCTAATCTTTTGGAAGATTCATAATCGTTGTTGCCATTTTCTTAGGCTTGGGAATACCCCCTGCTTAGGGATAGTGTATGGGTATAGGGAAAAGTGGACATTGGACGCACTTGGAGCATGTGTGCGCACCATTTCATGCTCGAAAATAGTTTTTGGCCAACGATTGGGCAAGCGAAGGAGTCCAAGCAAATCGGACAGGATATGAGACAGTAGAAGCAGTTGGAACTGAACCTGGGCCACGACCAGGACCAAGACCAGGACCCCGGGACCGACCGAGCATCGCCCTCTGGTGCATCGTAAAAAATAAGCAGCAGCAAATTGTATTTTTATGAGCTGAAACTGTTTTGGGGCCACATTTCAATGTCGATAAAAACAACGATGGTCCGCTTGTCGATGCTGCCCCAAAAAGGGGGTGGCATTGGTGGAAGTGGCACCGGAAGTGGAACTGGATTCGAGTGTGGACAGCACCCCCTCTACCCCACCGACAACAACAATAAAAACTGAAACAAAAACTTACAACAAATTACAAATAACGAGGCAAAAACCTAGAGTGGGATGAGTGTGGTGTGTGTGCTAATAGAAAACCGTGTGGCCAAATTGCACGGCCAGCTAACTACAACCGAAAAAGGAATCTCCGGAAAACAGCAGACGGAGACGTCTCAGCCGGACATTCATTAGGACTAATTAAACGTGATCAGAGCTCCCAACTGGGCTTAGACTTTACCCCCACAATTGGAATATATGAAGGGTACGGAGCTAGGAGGATTTGACACCAAATCTTTGTCATAGCGAAACCGTAACTTCTGGTAAGGTTCAGATCATAAAGTCTTCTAATCCTTAATGTTTTCTTGCAGTTGCCTTCTAAAATTGAAGCTTGTTCCTTGAAATGCCATATACCATCCTTAGATATTTGAGTTGTTATATCATATTCGAAAATAAAGGAGCTATGATTATAAGGCACACTCTCTGCCACTATGATTCTCTGTCCAATTCCAACTTAGTTTTGGCTCCAGTTCATCTTTTCTGTTGGCAATATGATATCAAATATGTTCATCATGCGCCACCGTTTGATTGCTACTGGGATTCTAATATTAATTAAAGGCTCAAGGCAGCACACACATGCTGCTCTTGGCGGCATCACCAACTCTTCATCTCCATCCCGCTCTGTCTGTGTGCACGCCCAGTAAATAAATATAATTAGCTGTGAGGAGGAGAAGCAGAGTCCTCTTGGTGGTCCTGCCGCCGCATGTGCTCTGTGTGGCACGCAAAATGAGATGACACTAAATCAAAGTTATTCAACTCACGTCGTTAAGTCATTAATCGAACAATGCACGGCAGGAGCGGCAGAAACATGCCAGGACACAGGACACAGGACATAGGACACACACACACACACGCACAGACTCGTAACATATGCTGATATCGTCGCCTTTAACTTTGCCTTGGCTTCGACTTTGGCTTTGGCCTTTGTCTTGCTGCTGATCCCGTTCCCGGCTTCCGTTTCCCGTTTCCCGTTTCCCGTTTCTAGCTTTTAGCTCCTAGTCGACGATATCACGTTGAGGACCCCGTTGGCACATAATAACGGGCCCCCGACGACGACGATGACGATGATGATGATGATGTGGCCTTTGAGGTAAGCGGCGCCAACGCGGGACCCATCACATCATAGAGCCGCTCCTTGGACGGACCTCCGACCACCGACCACCGACGTCTATCCAATGCATTATTAAACGCATAAATTTCGACTCAAGTGGCGGGAACCCCCGAAATGTCCTTGGTGTCCGGGACAGAGATCCGTTTTGGGGGGCGGACAGGAGGCGGACATGGACACGAAAGCGGACGCAGCACGAGCCGGAGTGTGGGGAACCCTACTCCGGAGTGACGACGGTCGGCGAGTGGTCGCGGACTGTCACCGCCCTGTGGCGGAGGAGGGCAGCGCGCATTTCAAAAGTGCATTTGACAAGACGCAAACTACGGGCACGGGTTGCACAGTGGAAAAATATTCCAAGTTACTTGTATGGTAAGCTCTTAAATTAATATACATATTTATTTTCTACTTAAATTAATGTCCTCGTAAACTCTTCTATTTTATTTTATCATATTTATATTGCAGAATTTGTCAATAGTTTTATTTCCGTGTAATTGTGACTGGCTTTGTGGGCGGACAGGACAGCCAACCGCAGAACTCTTTAGGACTGCTTATCCTCCTCCTCTCACCACTCATCATCATGGCCATTGGCCAGGAGAGTCCTTGGAATTTAGCAGGATTTTATGCAACTATTTGGGACTTTTGAGATGCAAGTAGACGGAAGTCGTTTCACTTCAATTTCTTTTTCCCTCTAATCGTTGTAAGGATCTGCATTTATTTATAATTCTTGACTTTTATAAAATATAAAATAATATTTAAGGGAAGTGAAAGCAAGACAGTCTGGTAACGCCAAAATAACGCCTCTTTCTAGCTACGCAGTTAGCTTAAACAATCTGGCAATATCGAACCCAGAACTATAACCATTTCAATTAATACGGGAAAACGGCGAATTCCAGCATAATTCGAGGCAACTTTAATTGTCAAGTCTGAGCCTATCCAGCTGCTTTGCCATATTTATGCGGAAAAGTAAAAACCACCATCCAGCATCCACCAGTGACCATATAGCAGTCACCGCATTCAGGAGTTACATTGCAACTGGACAGGGAGACACAGGAGCCGAAGCAGGAGCAGCTTGGAACAGCTGTAACAGCCGGATGAGTATGGATGAGGTGGTCCTGCGGAATGGGAGTCGTCATCGGGCGCAACTGTCGAATGGGAATGAGTGGTAACTGGCGAATGGCCCCGGTAATAGGATTATGCCCGGGCTCCATCAAAGCCAAAACAACCGCAACCACGCATAATTGTTCAATTTATTTATTTAAGCACGAAATGCGTAGCCCGTAGCCCGTAGCCCAACACAATGCCCGTACACACACACAGTGGGGGATCCCGGATCCTGCCATCCATCCTTTTTGGCCATTCATCCTGTCCAGCCCAACCTGACACCAGACCAATTCCCATCACCCACTGATGCTGCTTTCCTGGCCAGGCTCCTGCTCCCGCCCCTCCTCCTACTCCCGGCAATACAGCAAACGCTTTTCGGTTTTTGTGGTCAATGAAAAATCGCTTTAAATAATGAATTTCATTTAAATAAATATTTAAAAAGCTGTCAGCGAACTTTTATGGGCTCTCATGGGGCGGTGAGTCGTTCAAGATGAATGGGGTGACTATGTGGCAATGGGATCAGCACCTGGCCGGGATTGATTGGTGTCGATGAAGTAGCAAACACCATTGACAAAGGAAATCTCTTATGCTTGGTTATTATTTTATATATTTATAAGCTATCAATTTGTTTCAAAAGGATACTAAACACAGTTGAATTGTTTATTTTACTCAGTTTAAATGTCTTTTGTTTAGAAGTCTACAAATATGAGAACCATTTTTCTAACTAAGCTTTTGCTTTTAATTTTTGTCAGATATTTTCTCATAATTTGGAAACCAAGCAAACAAATTCTACAAATATCTTAAATATTATATATACTTTTAATGTTTGTTTGCCTTATTTGCTTATATTAAAAGTTTTAGCTATGTCAAGATCTGTAACTTCCATAGATTTTCCATGATGTTCTAGGAGAAAACGGTGACTTCTTTATTTAATTTCAATTCGTTTCCGTTTCCGGTTGCTTCGATTCATATTTCATTCTCGTTCCCGGTTTTATTGCCAAACAATCAGCAAAGGGGAGGGGAGGGGCAGTCGGCAGACACGAGAAATTATAATTACAATTTGGCATCCGTATACCCGCCGCCACGGCCAGGACTAATTAGTCTCCTGAGCGTGTTCTCTGATTCCCAATTTCTGATTATTGTAAATCTCCGGTCACGCACAAACGAAACAATTCATAAATTTAATTTTTCTGCAGCGCAAAGCAGGACGGGGATCGGGTTCCGAGATGGGAAACTGGGAACCAGGGAAACTGGGACCTGGACAGGAGCAACTGATGCTAGAGTCGCCGCACCACTCGACACGTCGCGCAGCCAGCGAATTCCCACAATAAACATTTGCACGGGGCAGCCGGCGAGGATGATAATGTTGATGACGATGTACTATAGTTGCCCCATGCCACATCACCTCTACGCCCATGAGGATGATGATGATGATGATGACGACGACGATGTGGGTAATGACGCTGATGACGACACACCGCTGGGAATTATTTGTATATGCAGTCATGTAGCATCGATTAATCATTTTATTATTATTGCCATTCGCTGGCATTCCCACAGCTCGTGATCCTCATACATACGAGTTTTTGAAAATAACGGGTAGAAAATGGGAAAGCTGTTGGGAAAAGCGGCAAAATGAAAATGGTGTCGGACTCCATCAAGGTAACAAATATGCAATGGAATTGAAAACGCTGTCCATAATCGCTTCGGGGCATGTTCATAGTGTTTTCGATTGATGGGTTCACAAATCAGGCAAACCGCCAGGCAGTAATTGTATTTTTTTGGGATGTTGATGATGGGTCTCAATCATTTTCGGACAATAAAGAATAAGCACGATATTAGGCCTGCCACAAGACCATATCCCTCATAATAGTTTTCACTTAATAATCTGATCAATTTTGCTCTAAAACTCATGTTAAATGTTTACATTTAAAAAAGAGAACTTATTTTTACGCAAGTGTGAATATTTATGATTATATTTTCCCGTGATGGGAAATAGATATGTTTGTTTAAAATAAAATAATATAATAATACTATGGCCTAAGGATAAGCTTCACCTCATTATTGCTCTTCGTTTTATATCTAGGTTTCTTATCTTCTGATACAACTTAAAATGGCATTTTCATGAACCAAAAACTCTCAAAACTAACTGACAACCCCAATTCCTGACCGGTAACTCTGGAATTCCTTGAGTCTCAATCAAAAATCATTGCGAATATTGACATACAGGGAAGTGACTTCTCGGGAACTGTCACACATAATTCCAGACAGTCGAATTTAAGTCAAGTTGGAGCAAACTTGCTCAGATCCCCCGGAGAACTGCAAAAGATAAGCCAAGACTAGGTGTCTAGTGTCCAAGTATCGCCTTGCCGTGGGCCCTACAAACTGGATGCCGTTTAGTGCCCATCCAGACCACCCTGCTGAGACCACACACCCTGTACCAAATCGACAGCCCCGTCCGGGATTAAGGGACATGTACGCTGCAGTGAAGCCCCTGTCCAAGTATTTGCGCCTAAAGTCGGTGCGCATCTACGATCCGATCTTCACGCTACATTCCAAGTGCACCGTCGTCCTCCTGCTGACCTGCACCATTCTCCTGTCGGCGAAGCAATATTTCGGCGAACCGATTCTATGCATCAGTTCCGAGAAGCAAACGGAATATGTGCAGTCCTATTGCTGGACCATGGGTACCTACATCTTGCCAGCGGAGACCGAGAACGGGGGTAGCACCAGTAGCTGGGACTTGTCCTCCTACACCAACGGCGAGTACAATATGAGCAGCCTGCGTGCTCTGGTGGCCAGGAATCAGCAATATGCCCGATTGATATCCATTGCCGAGGGTGTGGGACCAGAAACGCGCGGCGTCACCAAGCGCTTGTATCTTCGCTACTACCAATGGGTCTTTATGATCCTCCTCTTCCAGTCGGTCCTCTTCTACTCCCCGTCGTACCTCTGGAAGGTGTGGGAGGGGCAGCGTATGAAGCAACTATGCTCCGAGGTGGGTGACGCCCTCATCCTGGAGAGCACCTATCTCACACGCCTCAAGATGCTTACGAAGTACTTCCAGGCCCAGTTTACAGCCATCCATTGTTGCTATTCCTTGAAGTATGCCTTCTGCGAGATGCTCAACTTTATCATTAGCGTGAGTTTGGTTTCTACTTTCCAGCAAAAAAAAAATAAGATTTATGTATGTATGTAAATATTTGTACTGGCCCCCACAGTTGCTCAACTTTTGGCTAATGGATGTGGTATTTAATGGATTCTGGCACAAGTATATCCATGCCTTGGCCGCCATACCCGTGTACGACTGGAATCTGTGGAATATGATGACATCGCGCGTGTTCCCCAAGGTGGCCAAGTGCGAGATGTTCATTTATGGGCCAAGCGGCACACCGAATATCCTGGACATTCTATGCGTTCTACCGCTCAATATCCTGAATGAGAAAATCTTTGCCTTGCTCTACGTTTGGTTCCTGTTCATTGGCATGTTGTCCGGAATGAATCTCTGCTACCGCCTGCTCCTCATCTGCTGCTTCGAGCTGCGCCTGCAGCTGCTGCGCACTCACCTGCGCGCCATGCCAAAGTCGCAGGTGCGCCAGGTGCTGTCCACCGTGGGCTATGGTGACTGGTTCGTGCTCATGGGCGTTAGCATCAATGTGAATCCCTCGCTCTTTCTCGACCTGATGAATGAACTGTATGCCCAGCAAAAGAAGTCCGACTCCCAAGATCCCGAGTCCATGATGATGGTCATGTCGGAGCAGCAGAATCAGCAGCGTTCCTCGTATCTGTTGCAGTCGAAAACCGATGGGAGTTCCAGTCAGCAACGTCACGTGGGACTCGATCCGATGTCCGATCGCCCGACGGTGGAGACCCTGGGAAGTCGACTGCCCACAGCACCAAATATTCACCTGATGGCGCCCAATGACGAGATCATTAGCATGGATCGCTTCTATCACGAGAGCAATGCCTAGGAAGCTGTATTAATAGAAAATAATAACGAATTTTGTTTGCAAACCAACTAATAAATAATAAATAATAGAACTATATTTGTCCAACAAATATAATGGTAAAACGATGTAAAATGCTTTAAGGATAACCATGTTTTTTTCTTTCCACAACTAATCCTGAATTCCATTCAGACATTCCAATTGTGTTTCACCAACCTTTTCCACTTCCACTTTGAGTCGCAGTTCCTACGAATTCCCCCTCAGTTCTGCTAACTAATTATTTAGTTAATGAGTCCCTTTTACATTCACTTTGTATGTTTTCAGTCTCTTGCTGTCCTTCATTTCATTACATTTCTTTCTTTTTTTTATGTCTAATTTCATTTCCAGCTTATTTTCTAGCCTGGACCCTTTAAGCCCATGAAGCTTACAGTTATAGTATGTTCCATTCCATTCGGATCCATTTCTTGGTCAATCTCGCTCGCTGGTAAAGGGGGGTTCTATCGTTTTTGCAAATAAGTGAATTGCATCAGAATGCAAATAAAATGCACTAATCAAAATGACAGCGCGGGTGGGTGCAGAAGAAGGGAAATGGGATGGGGGTAAATACCAGCAGGCATAACAAAACTTTAACAAACTTATAAAAGTTAAACAAGCCAGAGAAACATACAGTGGGCACGTGGTAGGTGGCAAGGGGGTAAGGGGCAACAGCGGAGAGCTGCGAGTTGATGACGACGATGATTCCAAAACTCTTCTTCCGCTGGTTAAGCTTTTGTCTGTCTGCCAACAGGTAAAACTAACAACAACAAGTGGCGGAATGTGAGGGTGAGAGGAAGAGAGAGTGGAAGTGGGAGTGGGAAGGGGAAGCGACGACAACGCAAATGGCGGCAATTACATGCAGCTACAACATCAACAATAACACAACAACAGCACCGAAAGAGAGAGAGAGAGAGAGAGAGAGAGAGCGGGCCGTCGACAGAGAAAGAAAGTAAGCAAAAGAAAGACGCGGGCAAAGTAAACATCACTTTGTCTGAGACGGCCAAAGAGAGCAAGAGAGATGAAAAGAAGAAAGGGGAGAGAGAGAGAGAGAGAGAGAGGGAGAGAGAGAGAGTGGGGAAAGGCGGCGGCGCAAAATAAACAAAGTTAATTTTAATTAAAAACCGCAGGAAACCGAAAAAACAACAAAATGCTAAATAAAATGGGCGTGAACGAGGCGAACGACTCAGAGCAATGCCGATGACGATGACGATAACGATGATGCCACAAGGAAGGCTTGCATATGCAAGTGCGAGGAATAGAAGGAGAGACACACAGACAAACAGTTAGACAAGACAGAGAAAACACGCCTCCAGCTGAAAGCGAGCAGCTGGAGATTGTAGGCTGAAACGCCAACATATTCCTTGCCTCCTCACCCTCACCCCCCCCCCCCCAAGCAATCCGCAGGCCACCAATGGATAACTGTAACTGTAACAAAGACACATGTAAACAATTCCGTTTGTCTTCGGCTGCCGCCGTGCCTGCCTAGTTTTAATTATACAAAGCGAAAACTTTTCCCGCACTTCAACGACCCCGCTCCTCTCTCCCGTTCCACGCAACTTTTGCTAGAAACTTGCAAGTGAGCAACGGTAAAGCGATTTTAACCAACCGCAATTCCCAATCCACAAGGCAATTGCGGAATCTCGAAGCGATTTCTCAAAGAGTTTCCGGTTCCGGTGCAAGACCTAGTACAGATTTCGAAACCCACATGTTACGTGTAGAACACGAAACAACACAATTAGCTACAATAGCCAACGCAAAAGAAATGCTCTCAGAGTTGCCAGATGGTGAAAAAGGGCACTCGCCGCCATACTTGAACAAGTAATGGAAACCATTGCAATAAGAGTAGCATACTTTTATGGGCTAAACATTCTGCATGTGGGGAAATGCCAAAAAAAAAAAATAATAACAAACAAATTTGTATACAAAAATGGGCAAATAACATAGAAAAATCACACAGAAATATACATAAAATAAATATATGTATAGCACTTAGCAATGATATTTGTATTGCAGGCAAATATAGAGTTCGATTCAAACAGAACACAGGCAGAGGAGTAAACTAAAAGCCTTTGAAATCTAAAATCTGGTGTATGAAGAAAATTTAATACGCTTTTTGGATTTTTGTATGGCACTTGTTGATAGTTAAATAATATTCATGAATCGATATTATGATTATCTAGTTTTTAGCTCTCTGTGAAAAGACCCTGTATGGCTAATCATCGACATCTGAGAAGTTTCCGCACCGGACAATTTTCCCTTTATCTGACCCGTCACCTTGGTTTCCACAAAGTTGTTTTCCCCGGCGAAGGACGAACAAAGAAAATTAGAAATAAATTAACAAGTTAATTGAGTTTCTTGTTTAGGCAGCGAAGACGAAGACGATCCCAAAGAAGGACACGGACGCGGACGCGGACAGAAACCCCTTGACCAAAACCCTATGGCCAATAATCGCATCACCCCGTTCACAGTTGCGGTCAAAGAATTAATGCTGTACTGCTAAGATGTATCTTAGTTAAATTGTAATATAAATAATATATTTTTATAATAGAACAAATATATGTATATCATATATATGTATAATATCTACATAATATAATATTTACATGCAATTGCTGAAGCTGTGTTATGTAAACATTGAATATTAACTTGTCATAGCCAATTTAGAAGCTTTTCCCCAGTGCTTGGGACCTAGAGACCGAGTTAATTGAAAGATTTTAGTAATTTATATAACCACCTTTCGAAGCTCTTCGCTTGACGGCAGGTGTACGCCGGCTCCCAACTGAGCCGAAGCTCCTGGGAATTGTGGGGGTTCCCCCCCAAAAACCCCCCCTATTTTGATGGTGTCGAGTGCGTTGCGGTTTGTCAGGTGCGTTAAACTGTGCGGTCCCCGCTGCGGTCGCTCCTCGGTTATTAACAATTAACAATTAATGCTAAATCAATAAGCAAACACGACATATTTGAAAGGATGCCTGTGCCTGCCAGCCAGCCCCCCGTCTCCAGGTGATGGGGCAATGTCATTTATATGCTAATTAGGGGGCGGCTCAAGGAGGACCAGGCCTGTTCTGGCACCGTCTCCGGCTCTGGACCGGACCGGACCGGGTTGCTTCACTGCAGCACTTCCAAGTTGAGACCGTCCGCTCGATGAATTAATTAAAATTTTTGCGTTGTGCCCACGAAATTACCGAACACCGTCGCCGCAGGACAAAAGCCAAGCCCCCGTCTGCACCAGCGGCAAATGCAATCCCGATGCGAGGAGGGCATCCTGTCCTGGGCCTATATGTGGGACATGTGTGCAACAAAATCATTTTTCAATTACATTTTCGGGTTTTCGTGTGCGGTCCGAGTTTGGTCCTTTAAAAAGCGACCACGACCACATAGCAGGTCTATGCCGGGACCACTGTGGGGAATGAGAGGGGAAGAGGGGAGATCAAGGATGGGCTGTCCTGGCGGAAGGACAAGTGCCGAAAGCCGAAAGTGGCGAGTGCATAGTACCATGTGCTGCCTGAGTGCCGCCGCCCGCCCGTCGTTCGCTATATATTGAAAATTTGCTGCAAAATTGATTCCACGGCATTTTTGCGGATGCGGATGGCAAGCATTTTGAATGACCATTGATCACAGGAGCAGCAGGAAGTGGGACAAGCAGGAAGTTGCCGGGCTTAATACCACAAACATACATTTATTTCAAAAAGGGAACTTGTAAATAACAAGAAAGGCAGCTAACTTTGCAAAGCAAATATAAAATAAATCATTAAAAACAACCAACTTATTTATTGCTACCTTATCTGGTTTATATATCTCCTGTGTTTATCTTTTTTTTATCAGTGTTTTATGGTTTAAATAGCATGTCATATAGTATAGTTTTTATAAATTTAATCCTATTTCGACCCTTGTTATGAGCTTAAAACATTTCCCCATATCCTTTTACATCTAATCCTAACACAATAAAAGCTTCAAAATAAATTCAAATGCCTGGGTGGGATTTATGTGTAAGTTTCTAGAACAAATAGGGGGAATTTAAAGCATAATTAATATTATTGTATTAATATTATGTTATTACCTCTTTTATATAAACTTTAAATTAAATAATATTAATAAAAGTGAAAAGGGCTCGCTCGCCCATGTTCGAAAAGTATAGATCGGGAGCGTCAGTTCCATTTCCGCTACCGTTTCCACTTCCATTTCCGGTTTGTTTAATTTCCTAAAAGGGACAAAACTATTTGCAGGCAACCGCTAAGCTTAAGCTCTCTAAAATCCGATTAAAATTGGTACTTGTACGCGTTTATATAATTTAACTGATTATCTGATTAACTGGAAAATAAATGCATAGATAGAACAGCTTATTCTAGACCTAGGCCGGATCACTCATATATCATTTCTTAATGTATATTGTATAATAATGAAATTGTCATAGTAAAGACTTACCCCAGTATAGGACAGGTCATCTTTCTTCATTGTTTAATTCGCTTCGGTGTAGAGTTTATTCCTTGTGAGTTAATTAAGTATTCATCGAAATGTGCTTCTTCTTTTTGCCGATCTGGATGCATTCCATTGGCCACGTCATCTTTTTGCTGTTGAGGAGTTATCACAGTCACTATCACTATCGATGTTAACACTAGGTACCCCTAGGACAGACTGAGCTCGCGGCGATCGAAGTGCCTCTATTTATACTTCCCGCGGCAAGCTAACAGAGAAAGAGAGAACAGAGAAGTTGAGCGTAAGCGCCATCTCTACAGCGCTGTAACAGAAGGAGGCAGCTATACCAAATGTTATTGTGAGTAAGAAAGAGAGCGAGAAGCAGAGGCTTACAGAGGCATACAGAAAGAGACGTCGAGAGTAAGCTAATCACTGCTATTGCAATGTTATAATATTAAATTAACCGAAACTAACTTCCGCCAGGCAATATTTATATACCATTGCAAAATGCAATTCGAAGATTAAAATTAATATAAATTTATATTAATTAATTACTAATTTTTAAAATTTAATTATTAATTATTAATTTATATACATTTATGATAAAGAAACAACAA